ATCAAGACAGGCCAAAGTACCAACAGATCCGTAAAAGGCCATATTCTTACAACTTCAGTTCCTCGAGGATAACATCATGAAGATATTAACAGAACACCTAAAGAATATGACGGTAAACAGAGCATTCAGGGCTGCTGTATTATGCTGTCTCTCCTAAATCAGCCCTATTTTGCGTTCAGGATTTAAAGATAAACTGCTAAATTTCTCCTCTTCTATATTTGTCCATCAGTTTGACTGACCCTGTGGAGACAGTTACATAGGCCACACAATAAGCCGTCTCTATCGTTGGGTTTCCTAACATAATCCTGCGTGGCTAAATAAAAGACAAAAAAGTTCATTCACAGCTATATTCTGTCTCATCTCGTTGATACAGAACACAAGACTGATGTTAACGAGGCTTTTAAAGTCATTTACCGCATACCAACTAATCTTAATTTTACCTCCACAGTTCATCTATTACACATTGCTGAGCCTAGCTGTTGGAATCTACATTAGGGAGCCTAACCTATGTATCCAAAAGAAGTTGGTTCAGCCGCTTTCTTCGCCTTGACCATCAAGGTTTCAATGGTCCTCAATTTCTTGTAGAAATTTTCACAACTTTATTTGATATTCAATTTGCCACTACATTTTTATGCTTATTATAACTTAATTGTCTTTCCTGAACTGTAATTCCACTGATCTTACATAACAAATCGATAGTATTTAAAAACATCAATACTGTTAATGACAGCTGTTTTGAATTAGTTGTGTTCTCTGACTTGGTTGATTTAACTGAGAAGCTTCCATCATCCTTCTAGACAACACCTTCAGCGCAGGTTTTTTCAAATCCGAATCCAAGAACATAAATTAACTGTGAAAAGCCATGACATATATTCTTTCATACCAATACATGTAGATAATTATGGATACCAACTTGATTGGGATAATGTCGAAATCGTTAATAGAGGAAACACCAAAAAAGCAGTCAAAAAATTCCTGGAATTCCTGGTATTCAAGTGAATCAGCCAGCTATTAACAAACACATTACTAAAGATCAAATTTATCAGCTAATAAAAAATAAATCACATGCTAAGAAACTTCGAATTCCAAGTCAGTGAAAATGACCAACAGAGACGTAAATTAACAGCCAGGACATACAATTACATTATTCATGGAGAATTTAAATGAATTCATTTTGTACTAAAAGCTGCGCTGAAGATGTTGTCTAGAAGCGGGGACTACGAAAGCTTCGCAGTTAAATCAACCAGCTCAGAGAACACAACTAATTCAAAATCATTCGTCTGAGCTACAAATCTTCTACATGAGTGATGACTATTATAGAATATTCTGTGTATAAATATATGTATCTATAATAGTATAACCGGAAGAGGAAATTATTAAAAAGAATATTCTCTGCTCAAATTTCCTATTGTCTTCTCAATATCTGAAAAAGGGTAAAATCAGTTCATATACTCCACATTGATCTTCATATTAACACCCAATTAAGGGCGTATAACAACAATACGAAATGTGTACAGCACTTAATAAAGACATAAAGTTGAAATAAATCGAATCTCCACGGTTGTATTTGTAAATATACATATGTATACAAAGTGCACCCTGACTTCAGAAATTACCTCAATATATTACTGTCTGAATGTAATCGTGCCAAGGTGAAAAAGAAATGAGCCAAAATTTCCTACCTCCTAAATCAATTAGACAAAACTAGTAATATACAGCAAAAATTAACTGCAAATTTTAGTTAAATATGTTGTATTATATCTTTGTGTTCTTTTAAACATGCATTTTAATGCATATGATACTTTTCCTTCTTCTTTTTTTTAAACAAAAAATCATGTTTTGAAATGGAAAACAGGTGGAAGTTGGATTAGATTCAAAATTGGATTAATCAATTAGTATCTCTTTTATCAAAGTTAAGGCTTTTTCTCTAATTAGGAAACAGAAATTATGCGATGAAGTTGTGTCACAGAGAGACTGCTTCAGCTTTTATTGACAAAACAAGTGTTGCCCATGTAACTGGATCGTAATAACAGTGATTAAGTGACTGTCACTCACATCATTGACATCCCCTGATTCAACAGTTAGATAAGAAAACTAGTAGAAACGCATCTTAGTCCTGTGACTGGCTGGCTGACTGACTGTCTATAGGTGATGATATGGTTTTTCCTACTCATATAGCTGTCTGACAAAGAACCTCAACTCACTTCATAGAGCGAAAAATATGTGACAGTTAGTAAAGACCTCTCGAGAATACATAACTGAAGTCGAAGAGTAGACTTAATCCCTCTGAAAAATGTTTCTCAGCTAGTTTATTTCTTTCACATCCAGTCTCATGCACAACTGTGTCGATGTTTAGTGAAATGGCAGTGAAAATGTCTCAAGGTAGTCACATAGGTCTTCTCGCTATGTGGTGGACATGGTCAACAACGACCAACAGATAACCATTATCAATGAAGTCGTCTAAAACAGTGGATTATTCACATATGAAATATTAAGGCAAATAATAGGAGAATGAAGATGGCTAACACTGTGGATAAATTATGCAGTAATACCACAGGTATAATATAAACTGAATAAACCTACAAAATATTTCATTTTTTAAAGGACTTCATCATAAGCTGACATTGGTTAGAGAACCATTGGAAAACAGCTGTTTCGTTCTAGTTTTGGAACCCACCGCCAGGGTTCGAAGCCAGGACCTTCTGCTTACAAGGCGAGCTCGTTGACCATTAAGCCATTGGGACCCGATCCAATGGCTAGTGCATGAATTCTAACTTCTGCCAATTCACGATATAGCACAACCGCTAGTCAATGTCTTCGGTGAGTATTTGTCCTCACACGTGACCTGCTGCACCCTACAGGTCACGACTTCTCACTAGAACCTCAGGTAACTACCTACCTGAATAAGGCCAGTCGCCAGTGAGAATCTAATTGATATTCAAGTATTGGTTTATAGGGATTTGGTTGATTGGTTACTAGGACGAAACACCTGCCCAGTCCTCCCAGGATTTCCAATGGTTCTCTAACCAATGTCAGCTCATGATGAAATCCTGTAACCAATCAACCAAATCCCTACAAACCAATCCTTGAATATTTCATTTTTATTTTTTAATTGTCAATAATATCTATTAATAAATCTTACACATCAGATATGAAAATGTATTCTTTCTGAGAGACGACAAATGGCCACGTGTATAGTAAAATGTCGTCTAAATAGACGATATGCTGGAAAGACAAACGTGCTAGACGTTTGCCTAAAAGAGCAAAGTGTTTTGAAAAAGGAGATATTTGCATATCTAGTGGATGATTTAAGCTAGTTGTGTTCACTATGAAGTCATACTGAAGTTTGTGCTGAAGATATCTCCTAGAATGAGATTGAAAGCTTTTTCAAATAAATGACCCGGCTGAGAAAACACAGCCATATCAGAATCTAGTATTTTATACTTTAGTTTTGAAAACCTGAAATGATTGCTTCGATCGTCTTTGCAGCTGCAATTTAACCCAGAAAAGAAGCCATACAGCCACGGTTACCGTGAATGAATTAGTGGTCGACTTCTGAAAAAATACCATCTTAATAGGAAGTTGTATTATACACTGAAAGGTCTGTCTAGTAAATAAAATGTTCCCCATGCCAAATACTCATTGTATCACCATTCTATCCATGCATAAAACTATAAACCAAAATTATTGTTAGGCATTATTGAATTTTTCATAGCTTATGGAGAATGACATTAATTTTTACTCTGGATTAAGATAACATATTAACGCATACTTCTATCACTTGTTAGTCGATGTTAACTGGTGAATAACAGAGGAGGGCTTTGAAAGCTTCTGAAATCCGAGAACATTTAAAAGAAAACGGAGAAAGCTTGGTAAAGCTGATCACTATGTGGTTTGGGGATTTCCTTTTTAGTTGAACTCACTTTTCGAACTATCACCTGTTACCACTTCACTCATCAGTACCTTTCTTTTGAAGACTAAACCTAAATTTACTAGTATTTCTATGTTGAATTCAGTCATTCAGTTTACGGACCTACAGGGAGTCCCTAAGGCTGAAATTAAGAAATCTGCTAAATTGTAGATAAGTCTCATGGACGCCAATATACAAACCTTTATTAACAATAAACACTTAATTCATCGGTCTTTCGTCAATGTATTAATCTACAGATTACACAGCCGTGACGAAATATCGGGAATCTCTAGGATAAAAGATTTCAAGACTCTCTGTTCGACAGATAATTCACTTATGCAAGGGCAACATATAAATATTGAAAACAAATAAAATTTATTTAAAACACTATCACTTTACACTCTCTAAATTATTGGTATCAACAGTTATGTCCTATTTGTTTGAAAATTCGAAAAAAGCCTAGTAAAGTTAAATAATGCTTAAGTCCCAATGATCCTGTAGCTCTCACAATTCAGATTTCAGAAGTAATAACAGATAGTCTTTTATGGATCAAGTGAAATCACATCACTTCCTGGAATGTTATTCACCATCACTCTAATGATATCTAGCTAAAATTTTGAATGTTCTACTGGTAGATAAAATGTTCTGGCTTTGAAATTACTGTTTTAACAAGTTGATCACGGATTGATATCAGTTAGAGAACCATTGAAAACCAGGGAGTACTGAACAGCTGCTGTTTCATCCTAGTTTGAGGATTATTGGCAGTACGCACTCACCCTATTGGGGTTCGAACCCGGGGCCTTTCGGTTACAAGGCAAGCTCGTGCACCATTCAGCCACGATTCAATGGCTCATGAATTCTAACTTTTACCAATTCGTGATTTAGCGCGACCCAACCATTGTGGTTGGTGGGACATCCATCCACACACGTGACATCTAATTGGACCTCACTGGTCACGAATTCTCACTAGAACTGCAGGAAACTCCATCCTGTAGCAAGTCACTAGCGAGCATCAGATTAATTTTCTATAGTTTGGTTTGTACCAAGTAGTATGCAAAAAAATAGCAAATAAAATAATAAACTGACTTACTTCATAACTTGATCTTCTTACAATATGTTGTTCAGGTTGTTTCATCCCCTGTTCATCCATACTGAAATTCACTTCAGCACTTCTGTATAGTTTATCTTCTTTTTTATGTGATCTAAGTAACTGAGATCCACCTGAAGTATATGGGCTACCACCGGAACTAGTTACACTAGGCATACTTATCGAGGAATCATGTGACTCTGTTGATCTTTGATGAACTAAACTTAACAGTGTATTATCTTCCATTGTTGTGGTTGTAGGGGATATCGATGGTAATGTACTTGGCATGAAATCTCTGCCAATTACATTACCACTTCTTATTAGATAAGGTTTAGGACTCAATGAACCTTTATGGTTGTGTTTGTATGGAGTATACGCTTCAGATGACAATTTATCACTTGTAGTTTTAGTAGTCGGAGAAACTGTGCTTGATTTATCTACAGGATACTCAGGGCTTATGGAATCATATGAAAAGGTTAATGGATGCAAAGTTCTATTATATGGAGGTATTAAAGCGTTAGGTGAGCCTTTACGCGGAGAGGTTGATAATGCTCGCATAGTTGTAGTAACATGTGCTAAATTCTTTTCAAAATTTGGTGAATAACTCGATTCACTTGGTGATACAGGCATTGATGTCCTAGAATCTACGGAGTCAGTTTTATGCATCACATTATGACTAAATGTTGAACGTGATGACTGAGGACTAGTTGTAGGCGAACTCTGGTCATCAAACGATATTGTCGGTACAGAGGTTTTAGAGAATTGTTTACGTGCATTAAACAATCGAGTATTTACACGAGCAGTTGAACAGTCTTCTGGATTTATTGATTTCTGTTCATATCTCATATCCTCTGATCTATTAATTGTTCGTGGAGTCATTCTATGCGTTAAATTCCTCAGCTGACTACGTTTACTGTTTATTCGACTTTGTTTTGTTAGTGTTGAATTTGACGATCTGCTGAAACTGGATTTTTCATTCTCCATTTGGTAGATTGATTTGATGTAATAACAGTTTCAAAATGTAATCTACAAATCACTACATAACTGATATTTCTCTATAAATAGAAACTTTTAATTTAATTTAATCTCGAATTATTTTTGAATTTTATTCACTTTGTCATCAGTTAAAATTGAAATTTCAGAGTTTGAGCCTCATATTCCATCTCTGAGTTTATCATCGTCTAAGCCATGAAACAGGAGTAGGATACTGTATGCGTCACATGACCAACGGAGATGATGTAGAAACTGAATAATACACGACAGAAATCCGAGGAATTCAATCATACAATAATAATACGACGTAACGTGTTCATCTCCATATCTTGGTGAATCATTTTTTATAATTCTCATGGTAACAACTAATTCATAAATGTGTATAACGATAATTTCAGATGAAACATTTAGAAAGCAAGCAAATTAATCCAAATAATCCAGTGAAAAATGTAAAATTTTAAAAATTTCCATATTTTTATACTATCACAACGTTATCACCAAAAGTAGTAATCCAATATGATAGTTAATACTAATAGTAAGAATTGGTGCCATTTTTTTACACAGCCGCGTTCAGACAGTCGATTTGAAAAATCGTTTGTGAATGGCTACTAGACATTGACAAGTACACTTAATAAGATAACATCAACATTTCTGTGCATAATAATATAAAGACAATCTTTTATTATTAGGTGAAAGATTAAGACTATGGTATTATATTAGTTTTGACCGCACAGTTAGGCACACAGACACAAAACATGTACACATAGAAACACACTTAAACACACACACACGCAGTAGTGAATTTCGGGACACGCAGACACGTACACATTACTCTTTACAGAGATTCATAGAGAGAAATGTAAACCTGAATTTTGATTGGTATTTGCGTGTGTAAGTTTTTAAAAACGACAAACTAAAAGAGAAAAACTTTTCCCAACACTTTCGGCTTACTTGAAGGTGGAAAAAAGCAAACAGTCAGTACATGTTAGTCTGTTTATGACATAATGACAAGAGAAAGTACAAAATTTTATTGAAATTATCTCGTGAGGAAGATAAATAATAAATTATTTTAGAGAATAAAATTACATAAACTTTGTGTTGTGGTTTGTGTAAGCAATGACAAACTTATCACCACTTATTGATGACACAAATAAGTTGAAATTGAAACGAAGTTTACCACTCCACATTTATATATCCATGATAAAATAGGTATAAACTAACATTGAATAGCTAATGAACACATTTCAAGAATACGTTTGTGTAAATGGTGTATATGTGTACACATACACACACATCAAAAATGAGGTTGCATAACACGTGTGAACTAATAGTTACAAGTGCGCAAATGCTAGATATATTATGTAACAACGTAGGAACCACTGAATGCGTTTTTCCCTATAGCTCAGCAAACTTCCGCTAATCACAAACAGAACAAAGTTATTCCATTCATATCTGTGGTACTCTTCAACAAAAATAACATCAAAACAATTAGTCCCCTTGATAAATTTGAATAAGGCATTAAGAAGACAAATTTCGCGAGATGATATCATTTCGTAGTTTCTTTACAACCGCTTTACAACTAACATGGTTAACAATTAAGTTCATGACTCAGTTATATAAAAAACAAAAGTACATACTAATGACCAATCATATTTAAATAGGTCAAGTAGTCCATGGTAGGCAAAGGTTGAAGTCTATTGTTTTTTGTACACACAGTTTAGGCTGTATGTGATTAATCCAAAGGGCTTCCATCACCTTCAGTAACCTTGACTTAGAGTTATGTGAAATAAATGTGAAACAGTCATTAATAATGGTTTTGTGACCTGACATTAATAAGTGTTTTGCAATGGATGATGATGGATTTCTATTCAAATTAATTGTATTTAGATTTTCTATATGTTTTAGTGACCATTTTGGAACATGTTCTTTTCGACCACATTGGAACATTCTATTGGTTCTACCTACATAGGTGTCACCGCAGCTGCAGGTGAACTTGTAGATACAATTTGAAGTAGAGTCCACAGAATTACGTCCTTTAATCGTAGATACAGGGATCGAAAATGTTAGGCAAGTGGGGAAAAGAGATGCGGCGGAAAATGTGCGTTTGATGGCTGACCAAAGTCTTTGAGCTGTCAAATGCATAATCTGATCGCCCTTGAATGTTAGGTTAATAAAGATAGCTTTCTTTGGTACAGAAGCTGTCTTTTCGAGATGTGGTCTTTCTTTACTGTGACAAGTGATGAAGTTCTCTGGATAATCACTAGCTAATAAAACTGAATGTATATGTCGAAGCTCATCCATCAGTGTGTCACTCGTGCATATTCTTCGGGCCCTTGAGAACAAACATTTCACTAGGGAACGTTTATACTGGGTAAGAACAAAATTGGTAAAATGAAGATATTGTACACTCCATGTCTGTTAACGAAAAATAGATCGCTGAATCGTACCATCATCTCTCCTAGTCACAGTAATATCTAGGAAACCGAGTTTGTTATTCGATTCTAGTTCGGAAGTCACTTGAATATTTGCATGAATATGATTAAATAGGGTGATAAAGTTTTCAATAGATTTACTATTATTACCAATAATGAGAGTATCATCTAAATAACGTTTATACAGCATACATTCTCCAAGCATACCTTGCATTTGTTTCTCTAATTTGGACATGAATATATCTGGTAACAGGGGCCCCAGAGGGCTCCCCATTGCAATACCATCGATTTGTTTGTATGCTTTTCCTTGGAAGGTGAATCTAATATTTTCTGTACACATTAAGATAATGTCTTTGATGTAAGTTACAGGAATACGTAAGTTAATCCCATTGCTTGTGATGTAATTGCAGATGAAATCAACAGTTTCATGAAGGGGAACATTGATGAATAAAGATTCGATGTCAGTTAAACACATAACCTTTTCCTTAATGTTCAAGGTGTCTAGCATTTCTGTAAGATCAAATGAACTTTTTACAGAATGATTTGATAATGAGTCTCTTACAGGCGTAAGGACCTCTGTAATCCATTTTGCGATTTTATGGTAAGGAGAATTTGACATGTCTAAGATAGGTCTCAGTGGGTTCCCAGTTTTGTGGATCTTCGAAAGGCCATAAAGCTGAGGAGTATGTGACCCAATTGCTTTAAGTTGTTTGTAAAGTTTTTCATTAGAAAAAATAACATCCCGAAAAAATGCATAACAACCTCAACAATGCCGTCAGATGGCTATAAGAGCAAGCGGTTTCTCAGGTACAAAGTATGAAATGCACGGTAAAGTTAACTGACCAAACACAAGTATAAATTATTTGAGAATCGATAAGAACATTATCAACAAAGTAAGATCGAAACTGTGTCTGCAAGAATCAAACAAAAACAAACGCATTTCCAGCAGACAGTTCACGGTCAAGCGGTCACTGCACGCATTGACCATGACTTCAGTCAGAGAAGATCACAATCATAAAACAACCCATTATCAACACCACAATAAGCATTAAAAATAAGGATTAAGTCAAAAGAGGTATGAAAACATTACAACAGTGATATAAGGCTTAGGAGAAGTGAGCTGTAAACCTAAGTCACACGTTCGAATCCTACTACAACCAAGATTTTCATTAAATCCTCGGTCATTATGTTGGATTTTGATGCTTAAATTATAGGATTCTATCAATTTTTCAGTATACTTGTTTAACATTCATGCTTAATTCAGATGGCCGTTTAGAAGCTTATATTTGACACCAGTTACCTGAACGCTTAAATCACTAACCAAATATATGGACTTTTCCGTTGTGAAATAAGTCTCAACAACAGATTGTATGGTGTTATTGCTGAAGCTATCATGAAAACCGGCGATGGAATCTCCACAATCAAATACCAAAGCACTGAGAAAATCAAACAATGTCCATTCTCATCAAGTGCTTTAAATCTTCTCCCTTACTTCGACGATGGGTTAACTAGATTGGCTTGATGAATAATTCTGTAACCTTGAAATTATTTAAATCTTTCCTCTGTTGCTTGACTAGTGACTAGATCGTACACGTTTTATTCCACGTAGCATACTACTGCTGAACGAGTACACATGTAATTTCAAACTGGATGTTTAGATTCTACCATAGATCATTTTGGAAAAATTAGCCGGAGTTTTCAAGTGCAGACACATGATAATTCTTTAATAGATAATTGGGATGAAATAAAGACAAGGAATGTAATTTGGTTAAAAGTCAGAAAACGTCGGAAATTGTGTCGTCACTTTTCCTAAGTAGTAAGCCTCATAGCTTTCATAGGTTTACGTTGTAAAGCGTGTTATTAGGGCATTTAGATATATGAACGAAAATATATCAAAGCCCTAGTTTACTCATAATCCTCTGTTTGAATGGCTTACTAATATGTCTTATACCGTCCGTTGAAGATCTAAGGCCGCTTCTCGACTGCCGCTATCTCAGCCACCAACCTGTAGGAAATGAAACGGAGACATACAATGAATACGAGACATTCACAGAAAAGGATGGTGCCTGCGTTTCAGGTCTCTGCGTTGATATTACCCAATACATAGGAAGGCTGGAAGTTTAAAACAGGTTGATTTTCTGTTTGAATGCACAGCGTTATGAATGAACTAGAATTGTGTTTCTTTTTTCTGACAGTATACCTTATAGGATCAGCCTAAATATTCAGTTTAAACCACCCAGAAACTCATTTTGCTTTTTCATATAAATTTACCAAATATGTCTAATCCAACTTCATGTAATGCCATCTTAGTTTCTTTATTCAATATCCCATGAAGCAGAAAGAGTAATATTTGCTTTCTTACTAATCTCTGTGTATTCAGCTGTGGCTAAGAGACGTAATCGTCTGTCTTTAGGCAGATTGTTTGGTACTTGGTACATAGCCATTATACAAAGTCATCATCTCATATTTTCATATTTTATTATGCCCTTCTTATTCCTTCACATCTGATGTACTTCACATCATTATTATCACTAAGCTTATTTTGTCTCTATTATTTGATTATAGTTCATTATTTAACGTCTTTATTTTATCATTACATTTGCTATCTGTCAACTCTTTAACATACATTTAATGTGCTTCATTTGCCTGTTTGTAATTTTGTGGTATTCATACTTCTCTCACACTGCTGAATTTGACTCACTCCTGAAACTTATATTTTGTTGATTATAAAATAAAAGACGTCCAGCAAAGAGTTACTATTTTCGGCGATATCATTCTCCCGTTGTAAAATCGAATATATATATAGTAAGTAATCTGATCTGGACTTCGCCGATGATATATATCTGATTTCCCACAAACTGGAAGATATGCAAGCGAAAAGCAACAAGTTGGCAGAAGAAGCATCAAAAATAGGACTTCAGGTGAACATAGATAAAACAGAGGTGATGAAAATTCCTGGGCGACGCCACCAACAGCAACAACAACAACTGACAACAATCAGCATAAATGGGAGGAACCTGAAAGAAACAACCTCCTCTACCTACCGACCTGGGAAGCATCGTTTCAACTACAGGCAGACGGAACTGACGAGGATATCAAAGCAAGAATCGGAAAAGCAAGACAAGCTTTCACTACTCTCAAGTCTGTGTGGAGGTCAACAACACTCAGCATCAAAAATAAGATCCGGATTTTCAACTCCAATGTGAAGTCAGTGCTACTATACGGATCAGAGACTTGCACTGCGCGTCATAAAGAGCATCTCCAACAAACTACAAACCTTCATTAACAGTTGTCTTCGCTCAATACCACTCAAGATCAGATGGCCGGCCAGAAAAGATCAGCAACAGAG